TATCACGGTTCACAGAGCAGGAAAATCGGTTCCCACACAATCTGGAGGATATCGATTACGTTTGCGGGAATTCAGGGAGATCTGCGATAAGGAATCGACCTGGCAAGCAGTGCTCTAGTTGAATGCAATTAGAGACAGACCAGTCCAGTGGCTGTACTGATATCGGGTAAGTGGTTGTGTGTTGCGGGATATAATGATGATCCTGAGGTGTCAGAACAGCTTGGGAGAGATGCACTGGATTCAGATGTCACCGATATGTGTGTCAAACACAGCGAATATAGGACGAGGAGTGAACGATTCTGAAGAAGTGAAGGCGGTGGGAATAAAAAAGGTAAGGTAAAAGGGAGGTGAACGGGAAGGGTCTCTCCAACGTTTGAGAGATCGACAGCCCGAGAGACGGGAGACGAAGCAGACAAGTAAAGAAGACGAACAAGATAAAACAGAAGATAGCGGGTACGGATAGGTGAAGGGGAGAATGAGGAGAGGGAGGTAAAAGAGAGAGCTAAGAGTTGTAAAGGAAGAAGAAGTAAGACCGAGAGTAAGATAGAGAGAGAGAAGGAGAGTAAAAGAAGATGAAGATGAAGATGAAGAAATGGAAGAAGGACTGCTGCAGACCCCGTGATTGTATTATTACACTGGATTTACGTTGGAGAAGGATCGGAAAGTACTTGAGTTCTCGCCTATTTTACTATGCACACAAAAGTACCATCCATGCTGACAGATGACGATGGTATCATGCTTTACATCTCAGCCACACAATGATGATATCGTTTAAGCGCCGTTCATCAGCATCAACTGGAAACATTAGATGTAAAGGAAGACACTGAGATGAACTGAGAGAGTTTACATTGTGATAATAAGGGGGATAGAGACCCTGTTGGTGTGGCTAACTGATCATCCAGCGAGAAGTCCTTCACAATTCTTATCATCTCGTTTATCGAATTATCTTGATACCTGGCTTGGGTGAAGAAAACCCCTGCACCAGCTTCAGGTCCGGACTCAGGTAGGGCTGTCCCATCTCTGTACTGTTTGTCAGATAAAAATAGCTAATTCTCCGCAAGATCTGCTTGTTCTTATTCATGAGCTATTGATAGTAGCTTGACGCGGAGGGCGATCCGATCTTCTATCTAAATACTACCCCCGCCGTCGCGCCAGTGAGCAGCGGAACACGGTCCGGAACACAGTCCGGAACAAAGAGTTTAATTCAACAGCGACACTATCTAGAAGATTCTACTGTCGATGAATTTCTTCTCTTGTCTCTGTGGGCACTACATAGTGTTATAGCCCCGTTGGTTCTCCGACATAGCTCAATCCACTACGCCAACGTTCCAATCATACGCATCAACCATGGAAGACTACGACAATAACACACCTGGAGAAAGCTCCAACTACAGGAGCATATACCCCGAGCCTGAGGACATTCCCCTCAGCACCTGGCAGCCGAACCGATTCCAATATCAGCAACTAGAAAGAGCCCGTTCCACAGATGAAGAAGATGACTCCAACGATGATATGTCAGTTGATGAATATGACGCCCCACCTGCAGACGACTCTGATGAAGATTCAACGTATGAGTTCCCTGCTGGAGAGTCGACGTGAGTTCTGCCAACCTGCACTCACCATACCATAACACTAACAAGTACTAGTGGAACCGAGTCCGATGACAACGAGGAAGATGAAGAAGAAATACATGGACGGCGTCGCCGTAGGAGGAGGAGATCCGGGTCTGGTGCTCGAGGTGGGCAGGTGGGCAAGCGGGGTCCTCGCAAAACAGTAGAGCCAGGCCCCGAATTCAAGGCTTTACATTCGGAAGCGACATCGGCGTTTATCGATGGACAATACGACAAGGCCGCTGACCTGGTTAAGCAAGCGATCCGACTCAACCCGGAAGTATTTGCCGCTCATTCCCTTCTCTCCGAGATTTACGTATCTCAAGGGGACAAGGACAGGGCTGTGAAGGTGCTATTCAGTGGCGCCCATACTAGGCCAAGGGATCCATCCGTTTGGATCAAAGTCGCCAAGCTAATTTTAGGGAGAGTTGACGGCGATAGGGCCTCATCACTTAAGGATGTTCTTTACTGTTACAGCCGTGTCCTAGACATCGACCCCAAGGATAATTCTATCAGGTTTCACCGGGCATCAATATGCCGGGAATTAGGACATCACAGAAGGGCTGCTGTAGAGTATGAGAAAATCCTGAAGGAGCTACCTCATAATATGGAAGCGTTGCGCCAACTTGCTGAGACCTGTATCGATATGAACGATGTGGAAAAGGCAAAAACACACTACGACGAAGCCATAAATTACTACACCTCGCTCAGTCTTGAAGACTCTTCCGAGTTCACATGGTCGGATGTGAACATCTACGTCGAACTGTTCAGTTATATGAACGAATACGAGCAAGGGCTGGTAGCCTTGAAGTTCTTATCTCGGTGGTTACTTGGTCGAGGGGAAGATGATATATGGGAAAGTATACAGCAAGATGACCGGGAGTGGGATGCTGAGGATTATCCTCGCCGCCTACAGACCCCCGGGTTCGAGCCGGAGGAGTATCCACTCGACTCTTATGGCCTTGGCTTGCCGATGGAACTGCGGGTTAAACTTGGGATCTACCGTTTGAAAATGGGGCCGCTACACAAGGAGGAAGCCTTGGTATGTCTACGTAGATAAAACGCACGCCTATGACATTAAGCTAACCTCACTAAGTATCACCTCGACTGGCTCGAACCGGAAGACACCTCTCCCGGTGGGAAACTATTCGAATTCACAGACCTTTTCAGGGAAACCGCGGACGCTCTGAAAGAAGCTAAAGAATACGAATTGGCCCTTCGGTTCTATGTACCCCTTCAACAGACTCAAGAACGTACGGACACTAGCTTCTTCATGGCAATGGGAGAATGTTTTATGGAATGCGGCGAAACCGAAGAGGGGGAGAGCTGCTATCTTACCGTTGCAATGAACGACGAAGACGACATGGAGGTTCGGGTTATACTAGCTAGGTTTTATGAGAAAATGGGCTTGTATGAGAAGGCTTTCAAATATGTGAACCAGGTTGTTGAGCTAGGACGACGTGGTGCTCCATCTCGTAAACACAGGGAAACTAGGGCAGGCCGTCTTGCGAGGGAGCTTATGTCCGGGAGGATAGGCGGAGCCGACGGCTTTAGGAGGAGATCCTCCATGTCTAAGCCACCAGAAAGTCCCACACCAAACGAGCGGGATATAATGGAAGAACCCGATGATATTGTGGACCATATCCAGTACCTATACTCCAAGCTGATGGAGCTTAGGCCGAAAATGAGGGAAGGAGACGAGGAGGCCACCGAAGACTGGCTCGATATAGCAGACGCACTACTCCGTGACTTTCGATCAAACCGAGTTTTCTTTCCCCAGGAGCGTTATATGATGTTTCTAGGTTACTCGAGAGAGGCGAAGAGGAAACTTGGTATTCTGAGAACCACGACTTTATTGGATGAAATGCAGGATATGGCTAGACGCCTTCAAGCTGCATTGGGTATGCTGTCCCCCCTTTAAACTTATCAGCGGTCACTAAAACGTAAATAGGGCACGAGGAACCTGAGCAGCTAGAGATTCCAAACGATTATCACAATATATCATTCGACGAGTGGCTGGACGTCTTCCTCGAATACTCCCTAATTCTAGCCGGCCAAGGCGACGTCGAGGATACAAACGACGCACTTGCCGCTGCCTCGGATGCCAGTATTTGGCATCACTCAAAAGAAAGCATGTTGCGGATCCACATCTGCTGGTTCAGTAAGCTCACCCCCCCTCCTCTTACACCCAAAAACCTACCTCTAACAACACCACAGCCTGTGCTCTCCGCCTCCAAGACGAGGTAACCCTCAGCAACGTCGCCCGCTGGTTCATGAAAGAATACCAATTCGTCACCGACGCCTCCCGACTCTTCGCCATCCTCTCCCGACTCAACACCGGAGACCCCAAACTCTCCCCATTCAACTCAACCGCAAGCATAAAGTTCATGCTCCGCCAAATCAAAGCAATGGACTTCTCCCTCCCCCCTTCCCCCACCGGCCCGTCCACGCACAAAATCCGCACCCGCTCCTCAATATACCACGAACGCGCAGCCCTCAGTTCCAAAGACGAAGACGGAAACCCTATCTGCGCGGAAAGCATGGATGTCGCACTCCTAGTCCTCTACGGCCACATCCTATACGCAGGCAATAGCTTCATAAGCGCACTAAATTACTTCTTCCGCGCCTACGCTCTCGACCCGGAGAACCCCGCTGTCCTCATATCCATCGGGCTAAGCTACATCCACCAGGCGCTGAAGCGGCAGTCTGATAATCGGCACTACCTAATCATGGAGGGAATATCGTTTATGGAAGAGTACCGTCGCGCGAGGCTAAAGGGTGGTGATGAATCTGTCCTACCTCAGGAGAGGCAGGAGATGGAGTTTAATTTTGCGAGGGTGTGGCATATGCTTGGGATAGCGCATTTGGCTGTCAAGGGGTATGAGAGGTGTTTGGAGATTAGCGATGAGATCCAGAGGGTGGAGCGGGAGCGGGAGAAGGGGGGTGGTGATGGTGATAGTGATGGGAAGAAGGGGTGGGTTGAGGATTTTGGGAAAGAGGCGGCGGTGGCGTTGCAGGGGCTATATGGGATGTCTGGGGAGATGGGGATGGCGAAGAGGGTTACGGAGAGGTGGCTTGTTATTTAGGGGTTGGTTATATTTGGTCGCTTTGTATTGGGGGGGCATTTTGCTTCATGTGTAATCGTATCTAAATCAGCGCTGGCGTTTGTTATTGGGAGTGTTGCACGACTGTTTGGAAAAGGCTTGTATTTAGTTGTATGATATTCAAGAATAAAATTCTCATCAAAGTGTCGACTCATCTCCTCGTTTCTGTCATCCCTCGAAAAGAAATAGTAAAAGGTCGATGTTGTGGACGATACACGGATTTTGAAGGTGGCTTTTGCTCTTGGGGGATAAGAAACCTATTTTGAATTTTTAAGATATGAAATAGCCGCTGATCGTCTAGCTGGTTTATGGCGTCAGACTGTAATTTAACACTTTCCAGATCATCTGAATGTCGTGAGTTCGACTCTCACTCAGCGGATTTCATTTTTTTTTTTCGTTTTTTTTTTCCCTCGTTTGTCAAGGTAGGACTTTTTTTCGACTACTTATTCTTGACGTTAGTTCAGCTACAGGAGAGAGGATCCTAACTTTTTTCTTTTTTTTTTTTTTTTTGGCTTCCTGCTCTTCGTTGAGAGAGGCTCATGGTGACGTGGTGCCATCTTAGTCTACGGGAACCGAAGATAGTAGAGGTTGAACTACTGGGAGCAATATAAAAGAGCCGGCCTGGGCGATTCGGTGTATGATGTACATTAAGACTGTTCAGAAGAGTTGGGGATGACCGACGGAGACACACAATACTAATGTTAGATGTTTCCGTATTCCACCATCTTCAAGATATAGGGGGTCTTCGTTTTATATTTCAACATAAACTCCCTTCATATATTTCGCTAAAGAAACAAGATAATGAAATCGGTGGGGCAAAACACTAAAACCAACCCTTATTTATATGATATCCCATAACCCAAATATACCAGGAAAAATGAAAAAAGACCCTGTCCCCCTTTCAACCCACCATCGTCCCCTCAGCCTCCCCAGCGATAACACTCCCATCCTCACTCGCAGTAGTATCCTCATACCCATCCGTATCATCGAAGAAAACAGCAGACTGCCTCCTCATTTCCTCAAGCATACTCCCTCTCCTCTGCCTCAACCCCGGTCTCTGGGGCATCTTCTCCAAAACCTCATCGTTATCAGGGACAACTCTGTCCATCGTCTCCATATACTCCGAACTCCCCCCACCCCTCCCACCTTCCCGAAACATATCCAACCCTTCCCTAATCACCCCCTCAACCTTCATCCTATTCTTTATGAACATAACCTTCGGAAACGCGCTCTGCTGACCAACATGCAACATCCTTTCCAACCGCCTCATACTCGGATCACTCAAAATATTCCAAAAATCCGACGCCACGGAGCGCGGCCATATCGTTACCGTCCCGCTGAACCGCTGGAGCCAGATCTCGGACCAATCTTGGCCGAGAGGGCGCGGGAGGAGTTCCAGGTGGCGGAGGACTTTGAGCCATTTGTTTAGGTCGAGTTTTATGTATTGTTCGGCTGCGGAGCCGAGGAAGCCGCCGCGCCAGCCGCGGCCTTTGCGGTGGGTTACGGGGCGGCCGACGGTGCCGCGGGAGGAGAAGAAGAAGAGGTTTATGTGGGGGTTTACCTGGGTTCGGTTAGTTTATTGGACGCGGGGAGGAGTTTCAGGGGAATTTACCTGAGAGACGATGGAGAAGTTTGCGTTGAAATGTAAACTTAATGCCTTTAGGGGGATGTCTGTTCGGAGGCTTCCATCTTTCCATTTATGGCCAAACGAATATGGCCCTAGTGTTCCATCTGGCTTCTTCACCATGAGGACAACGGGGTTTAGAATACCAGGTACAGCAGCTGATGCGATCACAGCACTCCATATCACGCAGTCTGGGGAGGTTAAATAATTCGCCAATATCGTTGGTGAATGGGGATCTGATGGGACGCAGGATACATTCAATATCCTGCCCGTGCGTTCATACGCTTCCCGGAATGTAGTCGAACCACGGCAGAACCATGAGCACTGATGAGCCCAGTCCATCGTGTCGAATCTAGCGCCTGTCCGCCACCAGCGGCGTATCCATGTGGGAAATCCGTCTCGACAGGCCTTTATCTTTTCCGCAAGCGCGGGGACGAGGAGCTCTTTGAGCTCGGAGTCCGTCCTCGTCGCGACGAGCGCAGCAACCAGAGCTCCCCCCGACGTTCCGGTAATAATCTCCGGAAGAACATCATTGTCCAGAAGCGCCTTCACGACTCCAAAATGGTAGTACGAGAAGGTCGCACCCCCCGAAAGCGACAGAGCCGTCCGCCCAAAATTCGTATCCAGATGCTTGAAAAACCGCGCCTTCGCTTCCGGGAAAATCTGATCCGTCTTCAAGAGCAACCTGAGAGAAGCATGAATCTCATCAATAAACTCCTGAACCAAATTCTTCGTCCCATAATACGTCTCACTATACAACCTCGGATTCTCGACCCCGACAAAATTATTCTTCACGCAAGCCTTCACCATCTCCCTCAACTCCTCAATCGCAGAAGCCCCGCCCTCCCCCTCTCCCTCATACCCACCCTCAATACGTCCCCTCAACCCCTTCAACTCCTCCGTAACCTTCCCCACAGTAACATAATCATAATAAGCATACTCATCCTCCCCCTTCCACCTCTCCATCCCAAGATACGCATCCAATTCCTCCGCCGCAGCCCTCCACTCCTTATACGTCCTCGTTTCCCGCAACCTCCTCCTCAACCTCTCCCTCTTCCCCGTCCACGTGAAGAAATGCTCGTAGAGAAAAATATACAGCCTCGTCAACAAGTACCCGACACTAAGCACACCCAACCACCCCATCACCGTGACGAGGAACGGCCATTTTAGGAGCGTGTAGGCGAATCCTTCGCGGGTTTCGTCTTTGCTGCGCTTGGGGCGTTTGCGACGGGTTGTGTTGTTGTTGTTGTTCTTGTTGTTGCTGCTGGCGCCAGGCCTCCGGACCCGTTGGTGGATCGGGCGCCAGTCGTTTATGGCTATGACGGGGGATGCTTCGGGGGCGTCGAGGGCATTTTTGAAGGCGAGAAAGTCGGCTTTGGAGGTAAATTCGGTGTCGAAGTCGGGGAGGGAGTAGGGGTTGTAGTCGTTCATGACGTTCGTCGCTAGGTTTTTGCGAGTCCCGACGGTCGCTTGTTGCGTTTGCGATTGATTATAACTGCTTCCCTCTCCTTCTTACTAGGCTCTGTAAAATCATATCGAGCGAATGTCCGTCTCGTAATCCGAATCCTCAAGTCCAAAATCCGTTTCGTGAAATATCCATCGAGTTATCGATCGCATCGTCATCGACTATCAGTTAAACATGACCCGTCGTCGTCTCTTTTAAAAAGGGCGCCACAACCCTTCAGCCTCATATGACGTACGTGGCTAGTTTAAACTCCATGTCATACTAACCCTAAAATAGACTACAATCTGATAAAAAACCCCAAGACCCTGGATCACATGATTATTAGTCCCGTGACTTTTAATCTGTCAAAATCTTTTTGACTTTCCTTCCCCTCAAAGGTTCCATTCCATCGTCCTCGTCGCCGCTGTCAAGTTTCAACGGATAGCGGGAAGTTACCGATTCCAACCTTCGAAGCCGTTGTGCATCGTTTGATGTGAGCCATGGAAGAGGATACAATGGGACAGGAGGACCATGAGGGCGGGGAGAGAACGTTTCAATTTGTTCTTTTGGTAAAGTAAAGAAAAGGCCTCACTGAGTTACGAGGGATATTAGATGGTTTACCCATATTTCAAGCTACGATTTCGGGGCGGGAAAGGTCCACAGCGTAGTAACTCAATTCAGTGCGTGTTTTATCGCTCGAAACAACGATATATTCGGCCAGAAGCCCTTTGGGCCCTCGCGCAACCATGGGAGAATAGTTTCATGATTGAGGCCTTTTTTTGCTTGTTAAGATGTTGAAGCTCAAATCGTTACAGGATGCGATATCCGTACTCTCCACGGCAAAGTAAATGTCGACAAGGACCCCCTCATCTTCCAATAACCACGAAGAAGCAACTCAAAAACGTTTTTCTTTGCGCTACAATATGTACGATCCGTATGGCACGTAAGATATGCAGAGGGGATATTCTTGGTAACATCCGGCATTACGCCAATGCACTTCGCCTTCAGCTCTCATTCGCGGGGTTGGAGGGGTGGAGGGGATATCGTGCTACGAGAAGGATTTTTTGTTGTGCATCTTGCATGAGGTGCCATTGTCGATTGCTGATTGCACCAACCTCGAAGATTGCGCTCTCAACATTTAGATGAAGAGAAGGATGTGCCTTCTACCTGAGCTGAGGAAGGTGGCGAGAAGAAGTCACGGTTAATGGGAAAAGATGAGTTTCTATCGAGTAATTCGCATCGGTAAGAGCCATGAAACTCTTGCCGCTGGTGTGGGGAGTCTTTCGATTCTGATTGATATCTTTTCTTACGACTTCCCTGTCATTTTTGGAGGACCCTTGGCTATGTTAGGACCGTGTGCCGTGTGAAACGACTCGAGATAGAGAGTGTTGGGAACGGCAAAGCCGTATCATTGGCCAATCAGGTTAATGACATTGGCCGCAGACAATCCGGGGACAGGAGGAGAACCATGGTTCAGTCTCTCAATCCCATGTGAGGCTTGACATTTGCAGTGTCATCGCGCCGTCAACTCCTTGCTCGACGTCCTCACTGGTGTTTTTGTCGCCCTCAGCGATGGTCTCTCGGTCTCTTCGACCAATGTGAAGAGGTTTCATTAATTGGCTCAATCAATCTTGTGATGTTTTAAAGTTTAGTATTCTCGAAGACCGCAGCGAGTGCTGGGATCATGCGCAAGAGAAGACACTGACATGCCGGATCTCTGGGTCCGCGGATGTTGACGGCCGTGATAGATGAGGGGAAAGAGAAATTGGCGACGATGTGCAGAGGGTTTCTTTATCAGCGCGCGGTAGCCGCATGCACAAGCCCTCTCGAGTCCTTTCCAGGAGAGGCTAGCGGTAGGTTGAAGGTGGAAGGGAAAAGCGAGAGAACAGATAGAAAAAGGCAATATTGCAAGGTAAATCATCGTAGCGCAAGTGTCGAACCTGCAGGGCGAAATTTTAATCCCCTTTGCCCTCTCATGTGGCTTGCTTCCGTCTTCGGCCCTCTTTGATCAACCTCTTTCTGGTTAGATTTCTAATTTCTCGCGTATCTTGCGATCGACTAATCCCAAGCCAGGACTCCGCATTTCTGTTCTCCCACCAAAAAAGTGGCATTTCTCAAAATTGAGATTATGATCCTGTCTATGCTTGAACGATAACCAAGATAAGCATCTCATTCGTAGAAGGAATATCCCAGTTGGCTTTCGAAACTGTAACCCAGAGCCCTGGTGAGATCCGTGGTTGACATCCCCTCTGCGACCGGGAAATCAACTGTGACAGATCTCGTTGTGGTTCAGCTCCAAAGAAACCGTTCC